AAACAGATTCGATGATGATTTCCTTCAACTCAAACCCTTCTCTCAAGATGGAGACGCGAAAAATGAAAAATGAAGAAAAATGATCATTTTCATAAATGAGCGAAATCAGCAGATTCGATGATGATTTTCGTCTACTCAGACAGTTCTCTCAAGATGGGGACGCGAAAAATCAAAAATGGGCAATAATGGTCATTCTGATAAATGAGCGAAATCAGCAGATTCCATGATGATTTTGCTCAACTCATAAATTTTTTTGTAGGATGCAGACTCGAAAAATCAAAAATGAGGAATAATGGTCATTTTGAGAAAGGAGCGAAATCAGCAGGTGCTATGATGATTTTGCTCAATTCAAACGCTTCTCTTAAGAAGGAGACGCGAAAAATGAAAAATGAGCAAAAATGCTCTTTTTGATAAATGACCGAAATCAGCAGATTCCATGATGATTTTCGTCAACTCCGACACTGCTCTCAAGTTGGAGACGCGAAAAATCAAAATTGTGCAGTACGGGTCATTTTTGATAAATGATCGAAATCAGCAGATTCGATGATGATTTTCGGTCAACTCAGAAATTTTTTCGTAGGATGGAGACTCGAAAAATCGGAAATGAGGAAAAATGGTCATTTTGATAAATCAGAGAAATCAGAAGATTCCATCATGATTTTGGTCAAGTGAAAAGCTTTTCTTGAGGATGGAGACTGGAAAAATCAAAAGTGAGGAAAAGTGCTCATTTCGATGAATGAGCGAACTTTGCAGATTTTTTTGATGGTTTGCATCAACAGGAAAACGTTTCTTAGGATGGAGAATAGAAAAAGTAAAAAGGAGCCACAATGTTGATTTTGATGAAGGAGCGAAAGGAGGAGATATATTGACGAATTTCATCAGCTCGAAAACGTCGCTTATGATGAAGGGAGGGAAAATCAAAAGTCGCTGAAGTGCGCATTTCGATAAATGTGGAGAAGAGGTGTCATATCTTCACGATATGAGCTATTCTGGGCACTTTGCGCGGGATTATGGTTGAGAAGAGGAGAGCTCAGCTGAATGCTCATTCTGATCGGTCAGTGAAGTTAGCAGATCTCATGATGATTTTGATGACCTCAAAATGTTTCTGTGGATTAAGACTGGGAAGAATCAAAAGTGAGGAGAGTGCATATGCTAGTAGTTGATCGAAAGTAATCTTATATTATTGCGGTTTTAAGCGCGTGTGAACATTTTTCTCTGTATTATGATGGAAAAAAGGAGAAGTGAGGAGAGTGCGTATTTTGGTAGTTGAGGGAAACTGAGTTGATTTTGTGAGCGTCGTGATGACAGTGAAAATATTCGTGGGAAGTGCTTAGCCGCCCGCGTCTTGCTGTTTTGAGAAGATCCTCTTTAGCGAAAAGATTGAAATCCGTGTAGAAGACGGGTGTCTTTCTTTGGGAGTAAATTGTCTTCTGTTAGCCGAATATATGTAACAAAATTTCGTATCTCAGAATTTTGTACTTTCGTTTTCTGAGGAAGGTTTGCTAAGCGAGTTTAAACATGGGACGAAGAAATAGAACAATATGCATCACTGTTGTCTATGAAAGAATAGAATAAAAAATGAGCATTATTGTCCTTTCTGTCTGAAGGACAAAAGAGAAACAAGTTACTTTTCTTGTCCCTCTTGACTGAAAAAGAGAAGGAAAAGGTAGAAGTTGCATGTTTCTAATCATACAACATACCTAATAACATGCCGATGAACGACGATGAAGTACATCTATTATGTTTAATTTATAATAATGATTTCTATAATTCAGCAAGTTAATGAGAAGATGATGATTCTATCGAAGTCGTGTCAAATGTGGATGAAGAGGAAAGCAAAATTGTTGATATTACAATATATTTAACCTTTAGCTCCGATGATGAGTCGGAAATTGATAATGTTAATGATATTATATTAGTTGACAACAGAGACCGAAACCGAATCGAATCGAATCGGATAGAAAGTTTTAAAAATTAGGTCGAATCGAAACGAATCGAATGTTTTCTTTGTCGGATCGAATCGAATCGATTATATTATATCATATTCGGTTAGAAGTGACCTTTGCATTTGAGGTCGAATACATAGAGCGAAAACACATTGTACAAAGTGAGTTAAACTAACTTCAATTTGCGTAATGTGATTGGTTAACACAGACTTAACTCATCTTTTTGGGGAGAGTTAAATGTGTGTTAACCAATCACATTACGTAAATTGAAGTTAATTTAACTCACTTTGTACAGTGTGTTTTCGCTCTATAGAAAAAAAAGAAGGTGAATTAAGAAATGTAAAACAGTGTTGCTACGGAGAAACACCAATCACATTTATTAATTCATATATATTGGCTTGTTAAGAAATTTTTGTCGTTTTTTTCGTATTTTCCCAGAACAGTTCAGAAAGTTCTGGAAATTTCCATATTAAGGGTATATAAAGGCGGTGTAAATATCTCTCGAACCACAATAAAACTATGGATAAACACGCTGATAGCGAACTAGAATTGCATATATCTCGTAGAGAGCTTCGACTTCTTTTGCTTCACGAATTTCGTCTGGGTCACAAAACAGGAGAAGCAACAAGTAACATATGCCATACGATGGGAACGAATGCACTCTCCATTCGTACAACGCAACGTTGGTTCAATCAGTTCAACAACGGTAACTTTGAACTCGATGATTTACCTCATACTGGAAGACCACTCGAGGTGGATATCAATCGCTTAAAGGAACTTATCGAAGATGATCCTAGATTAACTACACGTTGTTTAGCAGAGCACCTTGGGTGCTCTCATGTTACAGTGGCAACACATCTGCACGAATTAGGCAAAACGTGCAAATATGGAGTTTGGATACCACATGATTTGTCACCGCATCAGCTCCAACACAGAGTTGATGCTTGTATGGAATTAATGACATCTCACGGCAACTATCGATGGCTTCATAATCTTATTACTGGCGATGAAAAGTGGGTGTTATATGTTAACCATACACGTAAGCGGCAGTGGCTGGCAGCTGGACAAAAAGGTGTAGCAACACCCAAACATGACTCTAACCAAAAGAAGATTATGCTGAGCGTTTGGTGGGGAGTAAGAGGAATTATCCTCTGGGAACTTCTTCCACCTAATCGCACTATCACTGCTGACTTCTATTGCCAGCAATTAGACCGAGTTGCAGCCAAACTTCAGGGAAAACAGGATAAAATTTATTTTTTGCATGACAATGCCAGACCTCATGTTGCAAAATTAACTCGTGAAAAATTACTGGAGCTTGGATGGATTACGGTTCCACATCCACCTTATTCTCCAGACTTGGCTCCTACAGACTACCACTTGTTCCGTTCTCTTTCTAACTATCTGAAGGAGAAAAAGTTCGACGACGAATACGATCTAGAAATGGGACTTCTCGACTTCTTTGACCAAAAGTCGCAGGACTTTTACGAAAGTGGGATCCTTTCTCTACCAGAGCGTTGGCGACAAGTTATAGATAGTGATGGAGCATATATCGTTAAAAGCTAGTTGTATTCTTCGTATTGAAAAAATAAAAATAAATTTAGCAAAAAAAACGACAAAAATTTCTTAACAAGCCAATACTTAGGGTGGTCCAAAAGTTCTGGCCACGGAGTTTTAAATTCATTAAAATACTCAGTTCTGAAAGTTTTATTGCATGAATAGTTAGTAAAATATCTCGTCTATAATTATACATATAACAAGTTTATCTTGGATTTAATTCTGATATTCTTTTAGGTAAACTTTATAGTACTTAGTACCTAGCAAGGGTGTTGATAACGTCAAGTAATCATATCAAAAGAGCTACTTATTTCTGGTTTTATTTTATTAAATGTTCACAATAATCACCATCA